CTCTTCCACGGGTTCGTAGTCACATTTGTTTACATACTTATAACTCCCAAATGTTTCTTTTCAGTTAAGAACTTGGCAGTTTAAAAAAGACTGCTTTAGAAAATGAGGGGGGATCTTCAAAAAGTTCTTAGTAAATGCATATAATAAAAAAGCTATGGGGCCAGCAGGTGGCATGATGGTTAGGGCGAAAGACACTCCCACATGGCCGACCATGGTTCAATTCCTGGACCTGGTGGCTTGCTCTCTCCCTTTCCTTCTCTCTATGTGTCTGTCTATCTCTGGTCAAATAAAAATAAATGAATAAATAAAATGTTTAAAAAAAGAGAGATTAAAAAAAAGCTATGCATAGATTTCACAAAATTTTTACACCAAAAATAAACTTGCACCTTAATTGCATTTTGCCATGAAAATCTTCAAGTCCCTGCACATGCATAAGTAGGGGTGCCGCTGGTATCACTGTTCCCAACTACTCCATCCCCTCCCTATAGGAATACACATCCCTGTGCCTGGACTGCTGACTCACATAGTATGCATTCTCTCTTTTTGTTTTTTAATTGCCAAAGGGCACATGCAAGAGTTTTACTGCCAAAATTACTTGTTTCATAAGAAGCAATAATGGAGCCAGCAGATGGCACAGCAATTACATCACTGGACTTCCACATAATCGACTGCAGTTCGAGTCCTGGACCCAGTAGCTTAAAACTCATGCTAGGCACATGTGCATGAGTGCCTAAGCTCCCAGGAGGAGAATGAATGGAAGAGAAGGAACTGCAGTGCAGCCATCCCCCCGAGGGGGTGATTTCTCACTTTCCCCCCTCCCCCAAGTGAGTACACATGCTCTAAGGCTAAAACCTCTAAAAAATAAATAAATAAAACACTGTACATGAGAAGCAAAGGTAGTCAGCACACAGAAGAAAACAGCCTGATTTGAATGGGCTCCATATTATGGGGACTCAGAGAAAATAAGGTTCAACAGACAAGCTAGCGTCAGTTCACAAAAAGTCTAAAAGCATAAACATTTTTTCTCTTTTCATGTAGATTTTTTTCCCCTCATTTAAGAAGTAAAGTAATAACTGCTAATGGGTATATGGCTTCTTTTGGAGGTAATGAAATGTTTAAAATTGATTGTGGCAATAGTTGCACAATTCTGTGAGTATATTAAAAACCAATGAATTGTACACTTTAAATGAGTAAATTGTGAAGCATTTGAATAGTATCTCAACAAAGCAATTCTTTAAAAAAAAATAACAAAAAATATTGCATGGTGGACTGAGCATATGACTTTACCTTCTCTCTCGAGACTCTACAAAGACATAAAAAGAGAAGGCAACCAATAAATCAGAGAGCTCAACGACTTTCTTTTTTGAGAGGCTTTTGATTTAGGGTACGTGTGCTCACCAGAGAGATACAGAGACAGAAAGGGAGAAATCGCCCCCTGGGGGGATGGCCATGCCCAATCCCTTCTTCTCCATTCTCCTCTCGGGATCTTGGGAACACACGTACATGCGCCCAGCATGAGTTTAAGCCACCAGGTCCAGGACTGGAACCGTGGTAGACTACATAGGAGTCCAGCGACACAGCCATTATGCCATCTGCTGGACCCGAGAGTCCGATGAATTTCTGCAAGGACGTTGGATGAGGAAATATCATCCTTACATGAGGAAGCAACATTATTACTACTTCCTGATACCCCAAACCCTGGTGGGAAATACATGGCACACTTCCTGGTAGGCTAGGAAGAGTTTTTCATTTTTTACAAAATTTCCAGAAGGTAGATCCACTCACCAGAGAGAGATGGAGAAAGAGAAAGAAAAGAGGGAGGGACAGAGAAAGCACCCCGCGAGGATCATGCCACAATCTCCTTTCCTGAAATTCTCCATCTTGGGATTCTGGGCAAACGCACGCATGCACACACACACACACACACACACACACACACACTCAGGCCAAAGTCAGCCATGAGGGATCCTGCTCTCTTAACCACTAGGCTGCAGGGCTGGCTTCATGGAGAAGCGTTAGGAGGGGCTACCACTATGTGAACAGGCTGCAGGCACACTGGGTGCACAACACCCTGGGGCTAAGTTCCAACCACACAGCCTGGTGCATCGGGAGGAGGGAGCCAGGGAAATCCACGTCCATCCTGCCCTTCTACCTCTTACTGATCCCACCTTCCTACTGGAACCCACTGTAAGCCCGGAGGTAAGGAAACCCATTGGCGCCACCTACAACAGGTGAGTCTTCCAGGCCAAAATCACAGGTAAAAGGGTGCAAAGCAGATCTGAAGTGGCCAACTGAAAATGCCCAGCCCGGTGACTTACATAACGACAGAGATCGCCAGGGCCAGAAAACATGTGAAAGGAACAACCCAGTGAAGTTACAAACGGGAAGAAGGGATGAAAAGTACTGTTTCAAACAAGGAGGTCAGTCAAAGGTTTACGCAAGAACCATTTACTCCCCGGCCCCCCTGCAAGACAAAAAAAAACAAAAACAAAAACAAAAACAAAAAACTAGGCAGTCAGCTTTCCACTCTCAGGTGAGAAAGTAAGGGAAAGGGAGGAAAAGGACCAGAAGGAACCAGGGGAAAGAGAAAGAGGTTTTTCACTAAAGAAGGTGGATAAAGACTTCATGCCAGTACTGGCTAGGGTAGAGATGGACCCAGAATATGGTCAGCCTGCTCAGCATAAAGCAAATGTCTCAATCAACAAACCCTGCCCAAGTAAACAGGGATCTTGGTCAGACTTCCTATTATCTCATTCTTCAGTAACAGTTTATTGGACATTGGAGGAAAGTCTGCAATGTGACTGAAACATAGTTAATTCAGAGAACAGGATAAAAAACATAATTACCAACTTAAACTAGTATTCTCAGAATTATTATATTAATAAAAATAAGAACCAGATTCAATGAGAAAAGGAACTCAGAACAAAGAAAAAGGCTAGCAATTAAAAAAGTTATGATTACTAGGGCCAGCCCGTGGCATGGTGGTTAACGCAGCTGGATCCTACACAGCCGACTGCATGGTTCCAGTCTCAGACCTGCCAGTTGAGAAACACACCAGGTGCCTGTGAGTACATGCCTAAAATCTCCACAGGAGGGGAAAATGGAGGAGGAGGGATTGCGGCATGACCATTCCCCATGGGGGATGTTTTCTCCTTTCCAGTGAGTAAACACATCTGGCAAATGGTGTTGGGAGGTAGGGGAGGGGAAAAGTAACGATTACTGAAACAGTACTTCATTGGAAGTAGTAATAAATAATGTTGATGACATTTACCAGGAAGCTAAAAAAGAAAAGATAGAAAATAGAAGAGGATTACAGAGTGACAAAATAAGAGATCAGAGCAAACACCTGGAGGAAACACAGTCTACAAATTAAGGACCTTTCAAGTACCAGATTGGATGAATGAAATAAGAGCCATCTGTGAAATTTCAGAACAAGGAGATTACATCACGAAGGTGTAAGAATCAGATAGTGGGCTGCCCTGCAGCACCGCTCGGGCTGTGCACTGCACACTACAAGCCAGCTCCACGTGACTGACCACACGTCAAATCCCAGCATCCCGGGTCTCCATTCTGGAGACATCCCATGTATTTCTTTTTTTTTTTTTTTAGGTTTTTGCTATAGGGCACATGTGCTTGCCAGAAAGACAGAGAGAGACAGAAAACAAGAAATCACCGCCGCAGGGGGGATGGCCACGTCTCAATCCCTTCTCCTCCATTCTTGAGATCTTGGACACACACACACACACACACACACACACACACACGCGCCCGGCGTGAGTTTAAGCCACTGGGTCCAGGACTCGAACTGCAGTTGGCTACATGGGAGCCATTATGCTAACTGCTGGTCCCCCCATGTATTTCTTTTCTTTTTAGAGGGTTTTACTATAGGGCGTGTGCGCTCACCAGAAAGACAGAGAGAGACAAAGAGCCAGAAAACGAGAATCCCTCATGTTATTTCTTTATAATCATATAACTGTGCATATATGTATATGCATACGTTACTCTGAAAAAGGAGTTCTAAATAAATACATTTACATTAAGGAAAAAAGTATTCACGTGAAAAAGAAGAGTCCCACAACCTAACCAAGTACATTTTGTCAGGCTGTTCTCTAGTCATATTTGCTTTCTGCTTTAGTAAAGGAGATGTGGGGTCAGCATGGTGGTTAAGGAGTTGGACTTTCACATGGCCGGCAGGAGTCAAGTTCAGGACTTGGTGGCTTGAAAATCATGCCCAAACACATGCATGTGCAAGCCAAAATCCCGAGAATGGAGGAGAAGGGATTGTACTGCAGTGATCCCTCCTGGAGGGTAGTTTCCCACCTTCCCTCTCTGTCTGTCTCTGTCTCTCTGGCAAGCGTAAGAGCTCTATGGCAAAAACAAAAATAAATAAAAATAAAGGAATTGTACTTCTATTTTGGTGGCTGTCCACAATTATTAGTAAACCCTGCCTGAAGGAAAAGGTTCTGTAGAATAGTCTCTTATGTCCAAATCTGGGGTTATCAAAATAAGAAATAAGAATTCAAATTAAACAGTTTTTTAAAAAGAATTATTTTTATTTTAACTTTGTTATTAGTTTCCAATTTGAACAGAAAGAGACACAGAGAGAGAGAAAGTGAGAAAGCAAGCCACCAGGTCTAGGACTTGAACCATGTTTGGCTATGTGGCAGCCCAATGCCCTTAACCACGCCACCTGCTGGACCAAAACTGTTTTTTAAGGCCCATTGAGAAAGTCATTAAACAAGGTATACCAGTGTGGCTCGTTTAATCTGCTA